TTATCCAAATCACTCTGGTGAAGGTGTGTGGAGTTATTTTTGTTTGACTGTGTTAAACATGTGTGAATGAAACAAAACACAACTCTGAGTATATTTTTCATGGGAAAACATCAGTATAACAAAAATCAGAAAATACTGTAATAGGCCCAATAGAAAGCAAAGTGCATGTTTTTGGATAGTGAGGAAACCAGTAGCTTTAACACAAAGAGAAAAGATGCTCTGATACACTGTTCATATTAAGCTACTGTAAATGATTCTGGTGTTTTTGTTTTGCTGTTTTGTCCTTAAAAGAATTCCAAAACTGACTGCAGATTTGCCCCTGTAACTCTATCCTCTGTGAGCTTCATTTGGCTGACACGATTTGGGTGATGCCATACTCCCTTAGTCCACTTCTTTATACAGTCTATGATACAGATACATAATAGATTCCTCACTGATATTCTGAGTTTACCAGAGGCGCCACCATCATCATTTGGGTTGTATTATTTTGCATGGGGCTGCCAGACAAATGACAGCCAATAAGTCTTATACAGACTACAAAGCTGCTTTAAAGCCCCCCCAGAGAATTGTGCATTGCTGACTTGTTGATCACATTAACACCGAACATTTTACACAGATGGATCTACTTTATATCATCACGGCAAAATCTTTCAAAAATTCTCCATTGAAATGAATGGGATTTCTGCTTAACCAGATGTGCCACAACACAGAAAGCACGGTTTATTTATTATGAGGCAAAAATGGGCGGGACAGAATAAGGTTAACAGATGAAACCAAGAGCCCACATGTCAGTATCAATATCTGAACTGAAATTGATACTTTCATCCTGAGGGTGTTTCACTAGTATGCTTATGGCAGAATGTTTAGCAGTTACCATGGAGACATTGGTTATTGCTAATGCACACATTAGCAATAACTACCAAAAAAGTTTTAATAAAGTGTGAAAACTCATGAAACAATAGGCTACTAAATGGATTTAAATAACACATTATCAGGAGTTTCAGACAGAACAGTGTCTACAGTTAGTGCCTACTGTATATGGACCAATTCCATCTCAGTTCCAGCTCAATAGCTGAATTGGTCCATCTACAGAACCCTCCACCTTCATTCTGACAGAAGACCAACCAGTCTGCCATAGAGGAGAGTATCTTTCACATTGGCATTAATTTGAACAAACTCATGGGAACCTGCTTCGCTTATGGCCAAATGTCATGTCCCTATGACGTAAGTCTTGTATTATTAGATCAACAACATGCTTTAAAGTTAAGATATTGGTTAAAATTAGGTTAGGATTTAGGTTAAGCTTAACCAAGTATATGGTTAGCGTTAGGATTGGTCCATAGGAAATTAATGTAAGTCATTTATGTTTATAGTGGAATGTTCAGCAGTTACCATGGTGACACAATGCAAACACTGCCAAAGAAGTTTTAAAATACTCAAAACAATACAACGCAATTTTCAGGAGGCTGTGATGAATATGAGTAGTCATGGTCATGTTTAGTTATTTGATTCTGAATACTGTAATTTTATGAGAGAGATAGCAGACATCTGCTCACCTGCTGTAATTGCAGCTGAGCCAGTTCTTTATGGTCAGATAATGCTCAGATTTAAGTGTAACTTCACTAACAGAGGTTCAGACAGAGAGGTTCAGACATCAGTATAAATTTGTTGCTGATGCCTTATCTAAAGTAGCACTACCCCATTTCTTCTCAAATCCCTATGTGGACTGCTGTATCACTTACAGAACATTTAGACCTTAACTGAGATAACAATGACATAAAGAACAAATAGCCACTTTGTCCACTTTATTGATACTTTGCAGCTGAAATCATCAACATTCTCTGGGGGTGTGATGCTTATTGAAGGTACTACTCAGTCTGAAGCTCTGTTACTCATTTTAGACTTTAATCTGATCTTTATTTTAACATAACCTAATCAGAGAGAACTGACTTAGTTAGGAGTAAAAACAACAACAGGTGAAATGATTTCTGCTGTTAAACAAGTCTCTCATCAATAAAATTACAGTCACTTGTGTCATTAGACGTGCACCAAACAACTACCAACAGGATCAGAACAGCCCATGTTGATCACATGTCCTAAAAATGTGCTGTATAAATCCATTTTGTATTTTTTCTTAAGTTTTCAGACAGTTAATAAAAAAAATTTGTAGTGTTTTCTAATATGTGCATTATGTCGCCATGGCATAGTGCCACTGTCACGGGTATCAATACAGTACAACATTACTATGTTGATATGCAATGTTATCAATGTCCACAAGTTGTTCTAGTCAAGTGCTGGTTTGCAGAGAGCTAAAGTAAGACAGGTTGTATGTCAGAGAAGTATGTGTCTGCATGCTTGTCAAAGTTAAAAATATTCACCGTGAGGTTATGGGAGGTAACTGTGATGACACGCTGAATACCTTTGAGAAAATAAAACTGCAGTGCTATTTTTGTGTGAACTATATGGTAACACATGCAGAGAGGTTGCTACGTGTCTATTTCAGGCCATTTCTTTGACTTAAAGACTTATGCACCTATAAGAAGTTTAACAAGATTTACACTCATTATGTTAATTCACACCCACCTTTGGCTTATGTCTGTCCTGTACAACCAAGCAATGTATTCGAGGTAGTGGAGACTGGGGTAACACAGCTATGATGGGAACTATAGAATTGGGTGTGAAGGTTAAAATAAACTACAGATGTGTGGATAAAGATGAACAGAGGAGGAGTTTTACAGCAGGGAGAAAGAGTTAGGTTTGTACTGTTAAGGGAGATAGTGAGAGTCACTGGTCTAAGGCGATTGCATGAAATATGTAAAAAAGAGAAGGAAACTATTTTGTCATCTTTAAATATGCATGCAACTGATTCTGCTTATCTTATACTTGTGTTGTACAATGTGAGCATATTTAGAAAAAAAAAAAAAGAAGCATAATATTGCATAGAGATGTTGCTTTATCTGGAAAGTTGGAGACAAACAGGTGACACCACCACACCAAGTTACAGTTCACATCTGTTCTTAAGAATGCATGTATTTATAATTTTTTCTTCAACAAAAACACCTGCAATTTAATATGTGGCTGTAAAATGTCTGTACTAAAGTGATACTGTAATCACTATTCTTGTCCTTGTTCACCTCTGTCTAACTGTTTACAGTCTGTGTAAATAATGCTTATGTTTTGTTATAACACCAACCTGCAGGGGGTCTGCACATGGAAATGAAACCAAGACTATAATACGCAATATTTACATTAGTCTAAATGTTCATTCATTTGCACCTTTTCTTAAACAAATACTGGAAGTTGTTTGTCACACATGTCATACATCTGTACAGAGCATCCCTACAGCTGCTGAATGCAAGAGGATGAGCTATGTTATTATGTTTGCTTCACTGTTGCTGCTGCCGAAATTTGAATTTCCTTCGTAAAGTATCTATCAATCTATCTATCTAATACAAGATACATATGCTAAATGCCACACTGTGGAACATTCCAAGCAGAGTAATAACATCTGTGTGGAGGCAGGTGGACAACCCCCTACCAGAAAAGTTAGAGTGCACCTTTAATTTTATGGCATTACTGTTGTTTCTACACTTTAGTATTCAGTGATAAAAAATCCTTTGCGCAATTAATTTAGGAATTTTAAAGCAGTAGATCAATAGAAAGGTGTGTTTTTTTTTTTCTTTTACACACTACTAAACTGAAAGTACATAGGAGGGGTGCTAACATAGCCTGCTGTCCTCTCACCAAATAATCTGCAACCACATTTTCATTTGATGTCAGGAAACTACGATGTCTGCCTGATAAGAACATATTCAAATGACTAGTATTTGTTTGCCAACTGTTGCTTTAGTTGAAGAGAAAACATTCTATCTCTCATGGATGTGTCCTTTATTGGTGAAATTGCATGCTGATTTGTATTTAGTGAGGCTTGGTACAAGCACATGGAGAAAGTACAGTTGTTTCAAACTGCAAACATTAAACTCAAACCACAACTTTCTTATCCCCTTTTTATCAAAAACATGTTACTTGGATACATGATGGTCTGTTTCTGCACTGTTTGCATTGAGGATAATATTACCCCTGTCAGCCATGTGATCCTTTAAGTTTTTCTGTTTGCACTGTTACACAAAACCGCTGCACACATAGATTTATATAAGAGCTTTATATAAGGACTGGGCTCAGGCCAAGGACAAGAATCCTTATGTCTGGGGGCAGGTTCATCAGAGGGGAATCATTGCTCCATAGTCACATATCAATGTAAATCCCCTTTCCAAAAAGCCAGTACTGTATCACTAACACATGTACCATAGCGATAAACTCCTCTATGGGACAAATTAATCACTTGAGCGTTTGGGTTAAAGAAGCATTGTGTAACATTTCTTTTAGAGGGTCTGTCAAATGCTTCTTCTTGGAGATGTTATTGCTTTGTCTGAAATGTTTCACAGTATGGCATTAAACGTTTCTATGTCATGGAGACCATACTAGACTAAGTTGCCTATTTTTCTAGGCATTTTTGAGCTATAAAACTCACTTATAATTGTATAGATGTAAGGTAGATCTGTTTAATGTTATACTGTGGAACATTCCAAGCAGAGCAGTGACCTATCCATAGACAGAAGCAGGTGATGAACCCCCAACCAAACTGTTACACAGAGAACTTTTAATGAAAAGAGGGGGGTGTGTGCACTGGTCAAACTCTCTGCCCTTTCTGCTTTTTCTGCGATCACAGCCTCGGGTCTATGTGCAGGCTGTGTACTATAGGCTACTACAATAACAAACAGTTGGGGAGTGTTTAATGTTCCTTTCTGGATTTTGGCTCACATCTGTGATAGCTGAAGCTGTGGGAAGTTGTTTGCTGTCGGGCAAATTAGGTCTGGGAGAGCTAAGAACATCCTCTGCACACGATGTACTCATGCCCATAGCACACACGTACGGCAATAACATGATCTGGGACTCGAGCCAATAAGGTGTACTTAGAGGTTTAACGGTGCCATATTAACTGGGACACTGTGTAAATGTTGCCTGTGTTCATTCAGGTGTTTTGGTAGACATTCAGGTTAGTGTAAGAATGATATTATTAGGAAAAACGAAATGATACAACAGCTTAATTTTAAAGACTTTTTTGTTATGCATTTCTTCTTACTTATTTGATCACTCTTATTTAATAAAGGCATAGACATGATTCTTTATAGTACTCAAAAACACTACAATAATGATGTTGATCGCGTTAAATGTAAAAAGGTTCGTTTTGTTCCTCCAGTGGCCAACGACACACAAACCTTCGATTACTCCACGTCATAACTGTATTATAGTCCAATAAAAAGAAAGGCACTGAAACAGCAAGAAAACACGCGACTCGAGGAAAAAATAACAAAAATACTGCGTTTCACAGCATTTTCAGAAGCGTAAGATTTTGAACTGAGAGCTGGAGCTCCGAGAACAAGCTCTCAAGTTCCCCACATATTTATAACTCAGTCAGCTGACCTTGCTTTTGGGCGAGTCCATTACGCAGTGAAACTTTAGCCGATTGAACTATTATAACTTATACTAAACAATATATAACAGCTTTTGACTTCAATAAATAAAAACAATTACGTTTATATAGTAACGTTTGCCATAAAAGTAGCCTTTATTTTCTAAATGTTCAGAGTTGGGCGTGCGTAAAGGCGCATCTGGCACAGCGCACCCTCCCCGGCACTGCTGAAGTGGTGCGGTCTTCTGTTGAAATTCCGAGAAGTAAGCCTCTGTGTTTCTTAGAATTGGATTCTGAGAACTGGTGATGCACAGAGTTTCGAGGAAACTTTTACAAGGTGACTGTTTTTTCTATCCTTTCCTATTTCTCAGTATTAGGCCAGAAGTCAAGGAGATGCGGAAGGAAGTCTGGTTTAGGGCTGGCTTGGTTTTTCTTCTTTTGAACACTTTGTCATACTTAATCTTGGAGAGTTAATTTATAGTTTGTTCCAAATATATTGTGAATTAATTTTATACAGATACAGCGCTATTTGATCTGAACCGTTTAGAGTTTTAATTTCCTGTCAGTGCTGGGGGAAATTGTGCTATGTTTGAGCAGTTCCTGACTGGGCCATTGCTCATAACTCTGTCTAACCGTCACCGTGTCAGAGTGTAGCTCCTCGAGATAAAGTGGCTCAACTGGACAAGTTAGCTGGTTTAGCCACATTACAGTATCGTTTGTCTATAAATTGCATTACGGCTGTTTATTACGTAAAGCCTTACGGAAATCTTAACCTCGTGGGCACCAAAGTAAAACGCAAATAACGCAAAAGTAGTGCTGTGGCTCTCTGAGCCAAGTAAACTTGAACAGACTTGTTGAACTTGACGGGCGACGGACTATACAGATAAATGGCGTATCGCCGCGCACTAGAAACTAGAAACGCGATTTGTAACAATGTTGGACGCTTTGTCTTGTAGTAGAGGTGCTCATAGATGAGTTGAGCCCGAGAAGCGCTATGAGTTAAATCTGACTTGTTACTACTGCGGAGGAACAGGAAACCACTGTGTGTCTACACAACTTAATCTGAGCCAAGGACGGAATGTGCTCCACGGAGACAGGGGCTGCGCCAGTCTGAGTGCGCTTCAAAAACACTGCAAAACAAGACAAAAACATGGATAGTAAACTACGCTTAACTTTACTAAACTCATCTCCAATGTCTTTGATATGTGTTTAACTTTTATGGTAATATAATTGTAGTAAAAACACTCCGGGATTAAAAACCCTATCTTCATCCTAATATAAGTAGATTTAAATGCAATGTTATCACTAGGGACCTAAGCAAAACGTTATTAGTTAATAACAGTTTATAACTAAACAAGGGATTAAGTTACGCAATAACCTCGAAGCCGCCTGAGCCATTTACTGCAGCGCTTTGAAGTCGAATTTAGTTGTAGACGATCCTCCCCGAGTTGTTTCAAGGCTGTGGCGCCGCGTTGTGATCAAGCACTGCAAATACATTTTTATTCATCACTTATTATAATATTAATACAATGTTTTAATGATTTTTGTTATGTTAATTATAGAGGCATAATAATGTTGAATTAATAATAGCAATATTAATGTTATAATGTATAATTTGTTTCACATAATTTCCCCAGATCTTGACAACATGGCCACAGCTACAGATGGCTGTATTCAGTTCACCCGACATGCGGGAGACGTCTTGTTTAATTTCAACCGACTCCGAAGCCGAAACATGCTCACGGATGTCACCATTCGTGTGGATGGGCAACATTTTCATGCTCACAAAGCAGTTTTGGTGGCTTGCAGGTATGATCACAGACTTGAACAATATTTAGATAAAGTTTTTATAAGATATTGACACATTTATTGCTCCATAGTGGATTCTTCTACTCGGTTTTCATGGATCCAGAGAATGTGAACCTCAGATCTATCACTCTGGACTCCCGAGTGGACCCAAAGAGCTTCTCCATTTTGCTGGATTTCATGTACACATCGTGTCTCAATCTCAATGACAGTCACGTCTTAGCCACCTTAAATGTGGCTCTGTATCTACAGATGGAACATGTCGCAGACACCTGCCAGCGCTTCGTCAATGCCAGGTACATCACTGCACTTAAGCAGCTGTAATAGGCTTGAGTTTATTGTCTTATTGTAAATATGTCTTTAAAGGCACCCACCATTGCAGACTGAAGATGGCCTGCCTGCTTCTACACCAGCTGAGACAAACCAGAGTTTCAAACATTCTGCTATTGAGGAGTGTAGAAACTATTCCCCCAATGTTTTTAGAGGAATTAACACCTCTAATTCTTACCAAGTCTATAATGACCACTCAGTGTCTGAGGGAAGCGGTAAGGTCCGCCCACTTCCCAGAACAAGTACTTTTTGCTCTAACACAAGCCTGATGGGACTCCAAAATTTCTCATCTATAATCCAACTTGCCGGAAGCTTTCAGGAACCAGAGACTCCAATGGAAGACAATGTGCACCATCCTCAGGCCAAATACTTAAGACTGTCCCCTGGCTTTGACAAACCCCTTATCTGTAGTCCTCAGAGTCCTTTAAGGTCTGACGGACAGCCCAACTCGCCCACAGAGTCCAGCAGTTGCAAGAATGCAGCACTTAACCTGAAAGAACACTGCCCCAAAGAACCCAAAGCCCACAACTGGAAAAAATTTAAGTTTATCCTGATGAACCAGACATCAGATAGCAAAGAGACACAAGAGGAAAACACAGGAAGTGATTCTCCAACACACAGTCTGCACAGCATCGAGTCGAGTGGGCACCATGAAAGTGTGAGTGAAGACGGACTCAGCGACCAAAGAGATGAAGTAAACCAAAGCAGTTGTAGCAGTATCAGGTAACTGTTTCATCAGGCACTAAATGACATTAGGAGCATGCAAAGGCCCCTGTAGTAACTAATTATATTGTGACTATAACATAATATTTTCATTTTCCTGACAGCTGTGAAAGCCCTCAGCGTCTTTCTCCAGATTTAGTATCCAGTGACAATACCCCCAGACTGCACTATTCAAACTGTGGTATGTGCCTTATGTTTATATGTTCAAAGTTATGTCACATTTTGATTTTGCTTGAATGATTAATTTGCAACTTCCTACCTGTAGAAAAAAACACGTACTTGTGCAATGGTTGCGACCCGCATTTTTCGGAAGAAGAATCTCTACGAGAGCGATCAGTTGGAGCCCACAGTGACAACAAGCCATACAAATGTGACTGCTGCCAAGCCTCGTTCCGATACAAAGGCAACTTAGCCAGTCACAAAACCGTTCACACAGGTACAAACCACTTAAATCAAGTAAAAAATAAATAAATAAATCAAGTTATTTTAATGGATTGTGTTAATTAACCGATAAATCCTTCAGGGGCAAAGCCGTACCATTGTAACATCTGTGGAGCGCAGTTTAATCGACCGGCCAACCTCAAAACCCACACACGCATCCACTCGGGAGAAAAGCCATTCAAGTGTGAGACATGTGGATCCAGATTTGTACAGGTAAGACTTAGACTTAGACAAACTTTATTGATCCACAAGAGAAATTACTTAAAAGAAAAAAAAAACTGTATTTACTTCCATTAGCATTCATATAGTATGTGTAAGTCTTCTCATGTTGCTCATAGCTAAGTGGAAATGATTGTTAAAGTAGTGTTATTGAATGACAATGTAAACACTTAGAGTACTGACCACTTCCCGCTATTTAATATTTTGACATAAATGCAACTTCTACTTTTATTGGTTCCTAATTATTATGTGCTTATGTTTAGGTGGCACATCTCCGTGCCCATGTCTTAATACACACGGGAGAGAAGCCATACCCATGTGAGATTTGTGGTACTCACTTCCGCCACCTACAGACGCTCAAGAGCCACATGCGCATCCACACTGGAGAGAAACCATACCATGTGAGTGCCTGGTCCAGCCCTTTATCCACTCAGACTGCATAAAGATTAACCCTAGTGACCCTGTGATCCCTACATATACTATTAAGGCTCTTAAACATAAAAGGTGCTGTACGTGATGTTTATCGTCTTAAAAATGTATAAACAGTTTGCAGTGGTCCAAAGTTATTCCTCACTTACATTATGCATTCAGAGCATCCTAATAATTCACTCAAATTCATTCAAAGCTAATAACAAGAAGCATGCTGACAGCGCTCTTCCTGATTATTGCACAACAAACCGCTTTACAGTTAAATGGCAGTTACGTTTTGAGCACCAGAGCTACTCATACAATATATCTGTACAGGGGCAAGACAAAATACATAAGAAAAAAATCGGGTACAGGGCCTTTAGCTTCTTCTCCATAATTTGCCATGATTGTGCGGTGGCAAAAGTGGTTTATTTATTTATTTATTTTTTACAGTGTGAAAACTGTGATCTCCACTTCAGACACAAGAGTCAGCTGAGGCTCCACCTGCGGCAGAAGCACGGGGCGGTGACCAACACAAAGGCCCAGTATCGGAGGGGCTCCAGCGGTCCAGACCCAGCCCTACTTAATGCTTGCTGAAAATATATCAATTTGATTCAGTGTATTTTTAAAGAATGCTCATCAGTATATGTAAGCTTTATGCCCGTGTAGCGAAACCAGATCATATTATGACTTAAATGTGAATTTTAGCTGGTACTATATTTTACACATAATGAAATGCAGCACTGAAGGGCTAATTTGTTTAAAGAAATTCTGTTACAGTTAAGGTTTTGAGATCAGTGCAAAGCGGTGGTTAAAAAAAGCTGTTTTGATATATATATTTTAACATGGCCATCTGATAGCATCTTATGAATGTATGTATGTACAGATGTATAAAATCTTATTTTATAGTAAATGGTACAAATTGTTAATATACGCAAAGTTTTGTAAATACATTGTATGCCTTTTTGCCCTGTTTTGTCGCTCTTTCTTTGTATTTTTGCACATTCAAAATGTAGTAAATCATTTTATTTTTTTAAAAAACACTGTATTTTTACTAAACTATGCTCTTGTGTTAAACATATCTGAATGTATTTTATGGTGCTTCATAAGGTCCGATTTTGGGAGGGATTATAAAAATGTGATTGTTTTCTAGCCTTACATGTCTCAGACACATGTCAAACTCTAGAATGAAAGTGCCATACAGTCATGCACCCCTTAACCTGATGTTACACGTTGCTGTTCTAATTTTGCGTCTAATACTCAAGGCCTTTAGTCCGGTACAACAGTGGTTCATTGCTTTAGAAGCTAAATTTGCGTGTGTTGCTATACAAAGTGCTCAGGAAAACCTCTATAATGTAAGCATATGCCTTTGGTATTGTACATATTTTCAACAAGAGAATAAAATCTATATCTCATTGCACTGCCACGTCATTGTTTATATACATTATTCTAATTATTTTGTCATGGATTTGCGTGTGCGTGTACCGTATTTGTATGTGTAGTGCCCTCTGCTGGTTAATTATTTTAAAACAACACATTGTTAAGTTCACCTTTAAGTGATTCAAAAGGTGGAATTGACAGGATTCCATTAAATATTGCTTTGTAAAAACAGATAAGTTCATTAAGCTTTAATTAATTTATATTTTATTCATTCATTGTTCTTTTGGAGACCAAGAGTGCAGGCTGAAAACTTCTTCATGAATCCAACTTAATAGTTCTGGCTTAGTGCTTATTTGTCCCCTAGAAAAGCCCTATACTACGTTGAAAGTGTATTATTTATGTAAAACATTGGTAACAAGTAGCTATGGCAGATCTAATCTCACTTACGAATTGATACACATACTTATGACAGTGACAAAAACAATGGAAAACAAACCAAAAAATTATATAAAAAAAAAAATGTTTTGAACAGAAAGAAATTTATAGAAGCAATGTAAAAGATAAAATAAAAATTTTAAAGTAATGTGTAAAGATGGTAAGGTCAACCCTCTTTGTCCAAGATGGATTTCACGTCAGCAAACACCTGTAAAACACAAAGACACAAGATTTCAAAAGTGCAACAATTAAACCTCAAGCTACATAGAACATTATTTTACAAGATATATTTTTTAGTCACTGTTTTGAATCAAAATATAACAAAGATAGCAGGACATGGTAGGGATTTATGTTCTCTAATTTCTATAAATGTATCTAAACATTAGCTTAATGTTTCACATCGCAAATTGCATACACAAGCTAATTTTTCCATCTAAATTCTTAAAGGAGCTGTATGTAGCCTGTTCTCGTACAGTTTTAAGAAAGGTACTACAATAACAATTGAACCTTGGTTGCTAGTGCCTTAACCTGTATCTAAAGGACACATACAAGTTTTCTTCATTCTCAGTATCATATATTGATGCAGCAGAAGCACTGATTAACATTTTTCTGCAGGGGCTGTGGTTTAGCTAGCAGTGATTCAGGTCAGAGAAAGTCGTTTTAGATTTTAGAAGCATTGAAACTGGCAACCCAAATGAAGGACTCAAGTGAGGCTCAGTCTGCTTTCTGACTGGATAATCGTTTTGAGAATCAAAACACAATACTTATAATCAAAAATTAATTCTAATTAAGTCATATCAGTAAACATTATATTTGTATCTGGGGACATAGTTAGGTCATGTTTATGGAATTTAAAATATAAATTTACATACAGTTCTTTTAACTGCACACACACACACACGTTCTGAATGTCTCTTTCACCAGGAACTCACCTCCTCAACAGAACGAGAAGCGTCCACTGTGCGCACCTTTCCCTGTTTTTCATACAGATCGATGATAGGTCGGGTGGATTGCAAGTAGGTTTGGATTCTGCATCAGAGAAAAAAAACATTATTAAGGTCAGACGGAGACACGGGAGACTCGAAGGAGATGAGAAGTGGGTCAAAAATGCGCAAGCAGGTGTCTGACTATTGTTAAATAGGTCATGCCAAAATGAAAATACTTAACACAAGAGTAAATGCTTCATCTGTCAGCTCACTGTACCTTTTCTGCAAACTTTCTCTGTTGTCATCTGTGCGTCCACTGCTCTTGCCTCGTTCTAGACACCGGTCAATGCAAACCTGAGAGTACAATACACAGTTTTGAATTGTCCTTAAAGGTATGCAATGCAACTTTTTTTGGTTGACCATTTCATCACCATTTCGTCTCCATGGAGATGTTATTGCTTTACCTGGAAAAGCAATAACATCTCCATGTTATTGCTTTACCTGGAATTCTGAACAGTGTGGAATTATATTAATCTATTTGTATTACAGGTGTTTTACTGCTAAAAACTACCTTGACAAAATGCATTCCTACTGTGAGCAGAATGGCCTCTCTACAGATCTGACAAGTAACCTGACCTATTGGCGTCACCTGTCTGTCAGAGATGAGTTTAATGACATACTGTTGAACATTCAGGCACACAAATTTCTATGGAGACAAGCAGGTGGCAGACCCTTCACTCTTCACCCTTCACCAGAAAATGTACATAGTTTTACTCATTTTTGTTTCTTTTCATACTTTTCATAACTTACATACAACATACAATATAATAAAACAGCTAAAACAATATTTAATAATACAATTAAAATGAAACAAAAGCAGACTTTTCTTGTAGGGCCTTAATGTTATCAAGTGTTATTTTATGGTACTGACCTCATTGCTACAGTCAAAGAAAAGCACAAATTTGACATCAGCTTTTCCATTCATCACGGAATTCCATCCCTGAAGGTTGTCCTCGTTACGTGGAAATCCATCTATGAGGAATCTGAACTTCTTCTCATCTTTCTGCATGGTCTCTTCCATTGCCTTAAAACATAATCCAGTTGTGGGAGAAAATTAACAAATTTAACTAAGCTACAGATACAATGTGTGTGTAATTTTTGTAGTAGTTCAATTTTACTTTTAATACATTTAAGACATACCTGCTTTAAAAGGTTGATTGTAATCTCCACAGGAACAATTTTTCCCTCCTTGATGTAGTTTGCAATAAGCTGCCCATACTCAGAGCTCTCTCTGGCTCTCTCTGCCCTCAGCAAGTCTCCAGCCGATAGGTGAGTGTAGCCGTAGTTCTGTAGGTTACATGTTAATATGAGTTTTGTTCATTTAAATCAATTTAATCAACACAAGTACAGCTCCCCTTCTAGCATAGCTCAACATTTGTTATTAGCATTTAATAGAAACTGTAACAACAGTGCCATACACTTCTCGCTCAGACTCTACTACTAAAGCTCTACACTCTTGCCATTATTCAGTCACCCTGTGATGGTAAGATACTTAAGCCACAGCTGCCCTGGGGTAGACTGGCAGAAGCTAGGCAATTCATCTGTGCAGTCGGCCAAATCAGATCTTTAGTCATCATGGCTAGCTATTCTAAACTATACTGGGGACAATACAAATAGCTAAATGACAATAATGGGAAAATATAGTAATCTGGAGAATTGTTCAAAGTCTAATTGAGTTGCAATTTGCACTACTGATTGTATGATATTTTGAAAGCATGTGGAAGTCAATAACAATCAGTTCAGAAAGAAAACAATCTTGTTTCTTTCATCTTGACTTTTGATCAATGCAACACACGTTGAAGACGAAAATATGCCTTGGCTGGTGTCAAGTGTCAGATAAGTACATGGCAGAATGTCAAATGCATGATTTCAATGGGTGTGTTCAGATTGACTTTACAACCAGGACCTGACCTGTCTCACACACAGGTTTGTTGAGATAGAGGCTGGTGACGTGTATGATTCATAATCTTTATACAGTACTCCATGGTATGATCACAGGGAAACTGTGGTTGTAATATCATAGTAGTACAGCCAGAATGACAAGACTTGTGTCTAATTAAATCAGTACAATGCCTCCAGCTCAAGTAGGTATGCACAGATGCTTCGCAGATATAGTCCGTTATACTTTTGAAGTGATTACCCACAGGATTTTGTATCCTGAATCCTAATGCTAAGTGCTACGTGGCTAATTCGGACATATTTAGAGGACAACCGGAAGTCAAATACACACGAATTGTGCATGAAAACCAAAACGTACAGATTATGGACGACCAGCTTGAAATGAAAGTGGCATTATCCCACAAATGTGACGAATATACAAACGAGAGTCTGATGGTTTCATTGTCTTCGTACCTCTACTATTTTAGAGCACTGGGTCCCTTTACCGGCGCCAGGCCCGCCCAACACAAAGACCACCTGCGGCTTCATCATCAGCGCCACCTGGTTCAGCAAACGAGACACCCTCTCAGACCCGAACCCGAAGAAACGGCCGAACATACACTGGCCCCAGCACCGGAGGGACAGAGGGCAAAAATATGAAAGGCTGGTCGATGAATGCGTGTCAGCGGCGACTCAAACGGCAGTGCTTCCGCTATTGACACCGACAGCCAATGGGAGACTCATCTCACCATGACGCAAGGACGCAGGCACGCCCACCTGCACTTGTTATTTTTTTTTCTATGCAGAGCTCGGGTGACGCCCCGCCCTGGTTTCTTCAGCATCAGCACCTCCACACGTCTACCTACCCGCGGCTGGAGGATGCTCCGGCACTGAACTAGTACCGTGGAAACCACGCAAAGACGGGAAGTAACCAAAACACGGTGTGGGTATTTTTTCTGCTTTATTCTGATCATCTTTGCTGCCTCGGTGCCTCCATTCACGATGCACCATTCATGCATCTCTAAGAATGGAAACACAGTGTCCAGGACGCGCTAAAAGCCCAGCCGCAAACCTGTTTACTCGGACGGACCTCAAGGTTTTTGTCTGCATGTAGGTCGAAGCCAGGATGAGAAGGCTACTGTCCCACTTTTGATGTGAAATACGGGAGAAAGCGAGCAAACAAAAGGCAATCTGACCCGCTCCTCTAGCGCACCTGTCTGCCCTGTCGCTGCCTGACATGACAGCGGCGCGGAGCCGGGAGCACAGCAGCAGGATCAAGGGGCAAGGAGTGGAGCAGACTGGGACCGGAGAAGGAGGACGCGCGGCAGACGACCAGCTGAAAGGCCGACTTTCAGTTTGTGGGGACGAGCTCCAAGGGCAGTGCGGCACAGAGCAGGCAGACCGGGGGGAGGAGGCTGCGGAGAGCTGTGATACCTCTTCCCCTCAAAGATCATCCCCCACATATCATGCTAGGTGCTTGTGTGGTTCGTCTTTTTGTCCTACCTCTCCCTCAGTAGCGATGATTTAAACTCTGTCAAGTACACTGGTGAAACTAAGGGACTAATGTCCATACAGTGCAGAAATCTTTTGCTGCCTTCTTCTGTGGTACTGCTCGTTTTGCTCGCCTGCGCAATGGGCTGCCTCCAGAGCATCGCCTGCAAGCCCCGCATCAGACGGGAAAACATCGTGGTGTATGAAGTGTCAGCCTCTATCGACCAGTGTCCTACGGTCATAGAGGAGAACTCCCCCATCGTGCTGCGCTACAAGACGCCCTATTTCAGAGCTTCAGCCGGTGTAGTGATGCCTCCAGTCCCCCGCAATGAAACATGGGTAGTCGGCTGGATTCAGGCGTGTACACAGATGGAGTTCTACAACACTTATGGGGACATTGGCATGTAAGTGGTTCACCAGACAGTCTGACCCCTCAACACCTTCACACAAATAGGACTATGGGCCTATGAGAGCCAGGCCCAATTAAATCTGATCATATTAAATATTAATAATAAAACTATTTACTTATCCTTAAGGAACTGCTGTAAGCACAAATAAGTAGGCTATATTTTTAGAAATTTTGCATATTCAGAAATAATATACAGTAGGCCCATAAGGATTTGCATTTTATTCTATAACAACCTGGGATTTTCAGTGTATCTCAAGAGGCTCTATTATTGTTTCCATGGCTACATAAACCACATCTCTATTCAAATGCCTGGGCTCATCATCTGTCTCTGCAGGTCAAGCTGGGAGCTGCCAGAGCTGCGTGAGGGGCGGGTCAAAGCCATCAGTGATTCGGATGGCGTTAGTTATCCCTGGTATGGAAACACCACCGAGACTGTGACACTGACAGGTCCCACCTCCAAACCATCCCGCCTCACAGTCAGCATGAATGACAACTTCTACCCCAGCGTCACATGGGCTGTCCCCATCAGCAACAGCAACACCCCCATGCTCACCCACATCACCCGAGACCAGAGCTTCATCACCTGGCTCGTGGCTATGAACACCATCACAAAGGTAAAATATTCTGTGCACTGAGGCAGTTTGAAAAGTGTAAATAAGCTTCAGTTCATTAAATTTGAATTGTATTTTTTTTTACCTTTTGACTTCATGTGTAATGTTAAATTATTTAACCTCCTGCATTTTACTGCAAATACATATTAGCTGCAAGGTCTTCAAATTCATCATGGTTTAGAACTTATACTCTACGTCTACGCCCTTCAATGTGACTGTGGAACAAAGACAGGTCTATATGAAAAGTAAAGTTAGATATATCATGTTATAATGTTAAACAAAACAACAAAATCACCAATCAAAAAATAGGACAAGAAATAGGGCTTTATTAAATAATAGTAATGTCCAGTGTGTATTTACAGGAGAGAATCGTGCTGCAGACAGTGCGCTGGCGGATGCGAGTGGATATCGCGGTGGACCCTGACATGCCTCTGGGCAGCCGAGCCTCGCTGGTGGGACGGCCCTATCAGGAACAGCCACATATACTCAACTACCAGGAGCCCATTCCCCCGAACGCACTGGGCAGGCCCAATGCCAATGATGCTCAAGTACTCATGTGGAGGCCCCGCAGGGGTGCACCACTTGTTGTCATCCCTCCAAAAATCAGTGAAAGCATCTCTCACATGAAATAATGATTGTTTTATCAGAAATGCAGGATGTGAGAAGAAACTATGGATCAGGGAAAGTGAAGAGACTGTTTAAGATGGTTTAAGATAAACAAAGCTTCAAGAGATTTACTTGGAACATTTTACAAGAGTGCGTTTTAGTAAATTGACTCAGGTCAAAGGTCACTCACAGAGTGTGGACTGCTTTAAAAGCTCTATTGCCATTTAGAAATACAATGTTTTTTACTGAACCACTGAGGTATTGTCCCCAGACTGAACTGCATCTTGCATCCTTATGTAGATCTAATTGCATGAACGGGCAGAGGCTGCTCGTGAGGAGCAGCAGAAAAGCATTTGTTTTGTTTAAGTTGTTACCTGGAGACATTTTGATTGCAGGCTGTAAAACCTCATCAGCGCCAACCAAGGCCTTCAGTCACTCAGTTATGTTCACTATGTATAAGACAGAAAACAGTATTATACAGATTTTAGGTAAAGATTTAACTCATGCTTCCATCTGATTGTATGAAGAACATCCACATGGCATAATAGAAAACTAAACCTGCCACAGTTTCCCAGGACTTTTGCTAAAATACCAAAAGAATTCAGCAACTTGTTTTAAACTCACTTCTCTTTTGGCTAGTAAATAAATGTGGTCAATACGCCTTTGATAAGTGCAGTGTAAATGACTTGGACATGTGCCATACAACATTTTCAAACCAGGCTTTGATTACAGTTAGAACAGGGCAGACCATCCATTTTTTACACTCAGGGGATCCAAAGGGAATTCAAATGTTTGCTTGGAACTACATAATAGTAATTCTTTTAATACAGACCTTTACTATATTATTTTGTGAATGAGCAACCACTGTAGAGAAACTAACTTCTGAGAAAAGTAGTAATATATTCAGTAAGTGAAATGCTTAGATTATGCATTCAATATACAGAGATCAAATGTTTCAAGCATTTCATTAATTTATAATTAAAAGTGTTCTTAAGGGCTAATATCTGGGTTTGTGACCCACATGAAAGCAAGATTGTAAGCTACATCATCACTTTGTAATTAGCAACTAAAATGTCTATGAATGTCCAGAGGTACATCAATATTTTGCAAACTAAAAACCTATGTTACAACGTATTTTTTATTTTTTTGCACAGACCCTAGGCATTACACAGTATGTTATGTTGTGGCCAGTGTCTCCTCAGTGACTCACAGTCCATCTGCGCCTCTCCACAGGTCCACGCTGCACCTTCACCATCTGTCCTCTCTTGTCCCATGACTGCACCCTCAGCCCAAAACACACATCTCACATCCACAACTATGCAACAATTATTGTGTTGTCAAGAAGAAAACATTTTGTGTTCATTTCATGGGAGTAAGTGCTGAATAAAGATGGCTACTTCTACTATGGTGAGAAACGGGTTTGTGAATTCAGGGTGTCTGCTCATGTCACTGTGGCTCATCCAAGCATCTGTTGCTATAGAGACCGAGTTGCTTTCCCCAAATGTGCAGCGACTGTAACAGAACATTTTTTATAAGGGTGTGCCTCGTGTGTGTGTGCTTGTGTTTAGTATCACTTTGATGCCACATGAAAGCTCACAGCTCATAGATTGATTATTAAAGGTCTTTAATTTATTCATCTCTTTTGCATTTAAAAAGAAGAACGTACGATTCAAATACTCACACTGTGAGCAAAAAGGTTAAAACTGTCATCCTGTCTGATCCCATATCATAGGCACAGGCAGACACAGGTAAAGTAATTCCCTTAATGACATAAAATATGTAAAATAAAAGCCCTTAAATAATACAAAATAAATAGATTACCCTCTTATATCCACTGATCATACAGTTCAAATGCAGGTTGATTTTTCTTGTATAAATAAATAGAATTACAAGAACACATCATATATAAATTCTGTACGTATAGTACATACATCCACATGTTGTGAATTTGACAATTATAGAATATTACATATTCTTTTCACTATTTCCAAAATTGTTGTGTATTGACAGGAACCTAAGTAACTAACACATAGTTTAAAGACTTCCAGTGAAAAATAAAGTTAACACAATTTTAATTGCAATAATAATAAAAAAAAAAAATTTACCCATATCCCTTGTGAAACAGCAACTCAACAGTTGTAACAATAGGCTATGTTTGTTGCACATTTGCAACTTCATACTTTCTGTCATACTGTAATTGCACTAGTCGAAGGTATTTTGACCTCATAACTGTAGAGAAATGTGGATGCAATGACCAGCACTGTCCCAGTGAAGAATACACTGAAAAACAGACAAGAAAAGAAAATCTTATTACAGCAGTTTGTAAGCCATTTTGTTACATAACGTCCATAATTACATTGTTGGATTGAAGTCCGCTAGTATGAAGTATGAAATTAGGGTTGACACAATGATAGACACAGAAGTTGCAAAACCTTTCAGGATGTTGTCTGCATATTTGATGACCACTGCTACAACCAAGCCCCCAAAAGCCTGCAAGTACAAATGGGACAGAGTTAAATTAAATAATTTTACAGCTCATGAGCTAACAGCAGCTCTTGTCCTTCTTCCAAGAACCTCCCCAAAATACTTATACATATTATCTTACATTTGCTTCATCACATGCCTATTTCTATTGTAAATGTATAGCCTACTTTAAATGCCTAACTTGATGCACTAATAGGTGAATAATGGTTTATATTTACAGGCATGCACCTGTGCCCAAGTTAAGGCTAGCTGTTGCTGTTATATTGTCTCAATTTCTTGCAGCCACAAACAGGAGTTGGTTTCTGCCATCTGAAACCCCTGTTAGAGACACTTGAAAGTCGTGTAATCTCACCTGTAACATCACGACCACACAGGTGACGACGCTGTAGCCCTGAAACATGCCAGCCCTTCTCACACTCCCTCCATCAACTACCAGCATCCCTACAAAGCCCAGGAGAAAGCTAAAGAAACCTGAAGAAGAGGGGAAACAGTTCATCTAATTTTTGTACTTTTTACAAGTGCAATCTCACAATTAGTCGTAATTTGGTGTGGATTAAAAGACAGCACATATTTTAAGTAAAAATAATTTTAGCCTAAAATTTTCAAACAAAATGAATAGCAAAATACATGTGTGAGTCACAGTAATAGATAAAAGATTTGTTGGACGTGTTACAATTTATAACCACTAGAGGATGCCATGTGTCACCTAAAACTACTGTCCACTTTCACTGATGAAAACATCCCATGCACAAACCCCCACTCCCTGTTCCCACGCCCCTGTCCTAAAGTCTTCTCCTTTCACTATAGCACTCTCTCCTGTTCTTAATGACAAGGAGCACAGCGCAGTATAAAGACATCCCACTGTCATCTTATGACCCCTGACCCCTGCAGAGCTTTTGTCACATATCGTAAAACAAGATGACCTCAATTCTGAAGATGAACAATGATGAGAGAGTAGTGAAGGAGCGTTGAATTAGCGTTGAATTTCAATAGAGCTTGAGCTTGTAAGACCTGACAGGTGTCTGTGCAAAAATCCAAATGTAAAACCGAAATAAGAGGTTTGGGATAAAATGGGGTGATAAAGGAGAAATGTAACTTTATAACACAAGACCAAGTACATTATGACCTTTATATAAGTGCACAGTGAAATTTGAAGTTAGGATAAAATGTGCTGTGACAAGCTACTGATAAAGAGATTCTGTTACTTTGTTTCCAGGCATTTAATATTTCCTCTGCTGTTACTGGTTTATACATTTTTATTCATCTTTTTCATCATGCTGTTTTGAAATTTAATATGATGGATTTATGGCCATACCCTCCAGTATGACCAAAAATATGCAGTGCAATAGTACAATATACATGCTGAAAAATGACTACAAGTCTTGACTCTAAGGACTACAACCATATGCAACATTACACCTAGGCCTTAATTTGAAATCAGTAGTCATAGAAAGTTTTTGGTGTTGTGACCAAGAGTTGGGACAAAATAGATACCTGATCCTACCTATTAGTTTTCATTTTAATTTCAGTTGCTGGATTCACCAAAATATTTCCTTAATCATTTACCCTCAAAAATCAAGAGCAAAAATGGCTTACAACCCTCGGGAACATCTGGGTACAGGGCCTGGTCACGTCAGCATATCCCTAAGGCTTGATCACAAGGCTAACCATTACAAATAGCCATGGATGAATAATCATTGTTACATTCATCTTAGATTATTTTGCTCACACAATAGACTGTATAAAGAAGTGGAATAATGGAGTGTGACTTCACCCATAGCATTCTTCTCTAGTTAAATGAAGCTCACAGAGGCTAGTGGCTAGGAGCGAATTTGGAGCCAGTTCTATATTAGGAAAAGCAATTTATTTAAGGAGAAAATAGTGGAATAAAAACACCAGGATTATGCACTAGTAGAGTGTGTTAATACAAATATTGACAGCAGCAGTTGACGGCAGCAGTTATGGAGAGTGGGGCGACATTTTTTTGAATACTAAGTGAACTGGAACCAATATCGATGGAGCCAGAATCGCCCCCATACACACTATCTATTTGGAACACAGCAGCTAGTGGGTTAGCTATGTCCAATCTATGGTTCTCACACATATGCTTTGGATAGTCAGACACATTTATTTAGACCTTTACCTTTAAAAAAATACTTTTTAATGTATGACTGAAACATCATACTGAGCTAACATTATTTTAACTTTGTCATTTCCACTTACCCAGTTGTATGTTTCTAAGCCAGATGCTCTGTTTGGTCTCTTTGAGGATCTTCTCAAAGTAAACTCCTGCAAATCCACTGGATATGCAGGCCATTAGCACAGCCATCAGCCCCACAAACCGTGAACTGGCAGACAGCACCTTCTGTTCTGAGTCCCCCGTAGACTCTGTGGGCCACTGCAGGGTCAAGCACACCAAAGGGCAGAGTTCAAGAGTCAGATAATTACCACAGAACACCTGGGCACACCTGTACCTGTACCAAAGTGACTCCAGTCATTAGGATAAGCAGTGACAGCCACTGGTAGAAACCCAACTTCTTTCCCAACATTGAGACGGAGAAGAGCGCTGTGGTGAGGATCTTTAACTGGTATGTGACCTGTTTATGATACAGAGAAAATGCATCAAAAGTTTAATGTGAAGGCAAACCAATAGCAGCTCCATGGAGACAGGCATGTGATGAATGCTTCACCAGAAAAAGTTACATAATGCACTTTAATTAATAAAACTTATTTATAGTTTAATTATTGACTTGTAAATTTGGCTTTAATTTCCATTTGAGGTTCTGAGTTGACTCTGTAGCTGTGGGCCTGAAGTTTACTGGACAGTAGACAGGAATAGCATATTTACTATAGGCAAATCCTCAATGGTAGAAGATATAAAGCTTGGTTAAGGTTTCTAAAACAATAGAGAAGTCCCTTGGTTTTGTAATTCACTGTTCCGATGTTCACATTACAGATATACCAATGTAGGAGTAATGGAAATGGAGAATGACTAACTTATATGATTTGAGTTGAATGTTGTAAAAGTGGAAAGAGAGGCGGCATATTTGAGAGTAACCTGATAGGTGGCTGCATCCAGGTTAGACAGAGCCACATAAAGAAGATTGTTCTGCAGTGTGTAGATCGCAGCAGGAACAGCCAATTTCAGTGTGTCTGCTGATTTGTTCACAATCTCCTCCTTCAGATGTTGGTTCAGTGCTCGTACACTCAAATCTGTCAGGGAAGACCATCCAGTGAGCAAATATACAGGCATTTGAGGTACAGCTCCTGTCCTGTCAATGTGTGGAATGGTCTGATGCACCTAGTCTGAGTATAACACTAAAGCTTAACTTGGTTTAACACTCTGTACAATACATGAAAGAAAAATGGCCACTTTTCATTACTTTTATATAGTTTATCAAATCTGATTTGTTTTCAGAATGTCTGCAATTTCAAACTACTACTATGTTATCACTGTTTTAGAACCACCACTTCCAGTAATTTTCAACATATTTTTAAACTTTTCTTTGCAAATTGTTTCTTTATTTAGTGTAAAACTATAATTTATATTTACAGTAGTTATTATCTCATCAACTTAAGTGAAGTTTAAAGAATCATTAAAATCTGTCATATGCACTTTAAGTTATGGGTTAAAATGCATTTGACTGAATGACTTGAATTATTACTTGATTTGGAGGAATAGTACCCAAGGAAAATATGAATTTATTACCTTGTGCTTGTGGGGATTTCATGGCAGCCTGTCTCCATTATGGGGTCCCCATGGATTACATTTTTATCCTGTCCTTAATATTAGATCAACAACAAGTCATGTTATGGGTTGAAAGGTAAGGTTTGGGTTTAGGCTAATTATAGAATTATATAATTAAGTAATAATTAGGGATCAGTTACAGGAGGTGATTGTAAGTCAAGATAATGTCCCCATAAACAAGTGCGTGTGAATGTGACTACCAGATAACTATATAACACTATGCTAATGATAGCAATTAATTTTAATTCCGTGTTTGCTTTGCATGATGGCCTCTACAGCAGAACACAGCGCCATGTAACATAAGACTATATTCTAGAGCAATATGAAAATGAAGGCACAACTCAGTAATAAAGATAAAGTTATTTCTTATCAGAGTAACAAACTGCAATAGGCTCGTACTCTATTAACATTCTTCCTATTCTATACAAACCAGTTACCACAACCAGTCTAGTCTAACTTGTTTGTGCTGTATTTAAAGTATTGCTCTGGGACAGGCTAAGAAGGGAGTTGGAAGATTAAAATATTTGCATACACAGTTTGTGTAAGGTCCCATCATAGGGCAAATTGGGACAAAATAAAATGTTATGATATTGCATTTTTTCCTATACCTTTTGTATTATATAATGGGATAACCATTCATGCATTAAGAGGTAATATTTCTATTATTATTATATTATTAGATTCATCCACACTCCTCATCTTCAAAAAAAAACATCCCTGAAAAGTCAAATGTTCAAAACTGCTTTCAAAACACTGCATCTCATTTTCATATTTTTTTTTCTTTTTTTAATTTGTATTTTGTCTGTTTGAACAGTGTGAAGCGTCAAGAAAAGTGCCATACAAGTGTTAAGAATTCTTATTCTTACTCTTAAGCTTAAGCTTCTTAAATGAAACCTTTCCTGTACTCACAAAGGCAAACTTACTGTTTTGCACAAAGACAATGAGTGTGCACACAGAGATTTTGAGAACTTCGGCGGACACCACAGCTGAAGATGGCAGGTATCTGGGGCCCTCCTCTTTGAGTGTTCGGGAGAAGCGCATAGTGAGGACCAGGGAGGAGGTTTGCAGCACCAGTACTCCCAGTGAGATGTATTTTAGCTTCATGGAGTTAGGCGAGGAAAGCTCCATGGCAGAGGGCGCTTTAGGGGGCGCAAAGGAGCAAACCTGTAGATGCAAAACAAAAAGATCAATTTAGGGGCTGGACTGGCACTAAGGAATACACCTACATATAAAAATGGGATAAAAAATTAATTCAAACAGACAAATTAAAACATTAAAAAAACAAACTACAGAATACGAACACAAATAAAAGACACAACTACAACACCTTTTAGTCAGAGATAAGTATGTAAATAAATAAATATAAAGTGCCTGCTGCAGCATAAAGTGATCACTGCTTGTGGAAAGAAATTTGTGCTGTGGCGAGATGTAGTGCATTTGATGCCATGGTAACCATCAGCTCCACACCTACTGTCCTGCCGACCGAGTGGACCACTCTGTGAAGAGTTCTCTTCTCTTTGGTTGTGACTGTACTTGTTAGGACACTTTTAATAGCACAGCAATAAAAGTTTTAAAGAATCTGTTTGGTATAAAAGCTTTTAGTTTACCTAGGAAGAAGAGCCTCTGGCCTTATTTTTTAGGAATTGCCCTTTTCAGCATATTATATATATATATATATATATATATATATATATATATATATATATATATATATATATATATATATATATATATATATATATATATATATATATATATATATATATATAGGAGTTACACGGTAACTCACACTTTTTATGGGCTGAAGATGTCCGTTCAAAGTTCACCAAACGCCGACAACAGTCTTATATGGTAAGAGGTATGGTAAATGGTAAATGCACAAATACAAAAATAGATGTATGCTCTCTAGATACTTTGATGAGGATATGCGCCTACGCTCGCGTAGAACGTCAAAAATAGATTGGATCCAATTTTCTCAAATCTACGCGCGCAGGACCTGCTGCTCCATAAGCGAGTCTAGCGAGCGGTGTGGCCACCCTCATTCACTTTTGATGAATTCCAAAGATTACGTATCCAAAAGTTGCAGTTTTTGCGCTTTTAGGGCGAAATACGGTGTGCAGTGGAACCAGGCTCTAACTTTAAGTGCGGCTCTGGCTGCAAGACGATGTCAAACCAACTGACACAGTAAAGCAGGAGTTTTTATTTGCACAAGGGAGCAGGGCATCACAATCCCTCCCTTGTTATGCCCAGAGTACGTGGAAAAGAGGTTTTGCTCCATGAACCTTAGCTAGGCTATTTATACCAACATGTGTACGTCTTTTACGCCTAAAACATTAAAATCACTGGACTGGACAACTGGACTGGAGCAAGACAGTCACAAACTGATGTTTATGTATGTATGTATGTATGTATGTATGTATGTATGTATGTATGTGTGTGTGTGTGTGTGTGTGTTTGTGAAACACACACACACATGTATATATACATATATATATATATATATATATATATATATATATATATATATATATATATATATATATATATATATATATATATATATATATATATATATATATATATATATATATATATGTGGGGTTTCATTCTTTACATTATAGGCTACATTCATCTTCTTGACATTTTCGCATTTTCTTGACATCTTCTGGGTTGGTCTCTCAACTCCATGGAAGGAAATGCATGATTGGGGCATCTCTAAACCTTAAACAAGTACACATACAAATACCAAGAACAAGTTATATAGACTACCAGTCAGGAATGTGGCCACTGATACATAGGGCTTCATCACTTCTATTACTGCGTGCACCTTTCATGCGACACACCAATGTTTGTTTTAAAAATTGTTAACAAGAAAACAAATATTTAACACAATATAATCACCAGGACATGGCTTTACAAGGACAGCCCTGACTTAATGTCCCGTATGAGTGACAGAATTTTTAACATGTTTTTTTTGCCTTTTGCCTCTTTCAATCTTTCAAAAATAAAAAATAAAAAACACAACACAGATAAATGTACCAGTTGATTAAAAAAAAAAAACTTACAGTAAAACCGTGAATGTAGCAATGACACCAAACGCGCGACGAATCGTAGAGTTTTCCGTCGTGTATGCGCTCAGAGTGGCGCTGAAGTGTCAACTCCTGGATCCACAGTCCTACTGTGTAAAGGCACTCTGCTCCATCCGCACCCCAGATGTGGGGTGACACCTGCTGGACATGTCCTCTCACACCTGGACAGTTTAAGTCCTCAAACATAATGTCATATTTGAAAGGTCCGCCAGTGCTGTGCACTGAGCCTGTTCTTGTTTTCTATACACTTAAACGTTTCATTCAAGCGGTTTGTGTCCAACATCTCACGCTGCTTTACTTTTTAAAAACATTGACATTTGGCTAAGCTCCCACACAAAACGTTGTCATTCACTGGGTGGCGCTGCAGTTGAATATTCTTAAATTGAACCTGAAGGAGAAATTTCCACGTGGTTCCGTTTTCTTTTGATCTTTTCCTGTTTGTATTTCAGCGAGTAACAGGCGCACAGAAGCATTTAACCTGGCAAAATGGTCCGCAAATTAAAATTTCATGAGCAGAAGCTTCTGAAGAAGGTAGATTTTATAAACTGGGAGGTGGACAACAACATCCATGAAGTGAAAGTGCTGCGAAGATTCCGTATTGAGAAGCGCGAGGACTACATGAAGTGAGACTGTCTTTCTTACATTTAGATAAACTTTTATGGTATCAAAATTTGAAATAGAAAACCCGCGTTTGGCCTGGTTTATAGTTAACAGATGCTAATGTTTTAAGTTACAAACGTACTTCCTATATAGCAAACCCGTGTGAAACCCAATAATTATATAAATTATTTTAACAATTCAGGTACAACAAGCTCAGTCGTAACATCAGAGATCTGACTCAGAAGATCCGCGACTTGGATGAGAAGGACGGTTTCAGAGCTCAGAGCACACACAGACTGTTGGAGAAACTGTGAGTGGATTATTAAAAGCCCCATGTTCCACAAAATAGATTCTTTTAAGAGTTTTAACCCACGTTGTAATACTTACCTACCCAAAAACATACCCAGTCCCGGAGATGTTAGGAAGCAGTATTTTTCAATTTAACAGTTACCTTTAAGCTTTTGTTCAGTAGAGATCGGCAATTCCAAACCTGAAATCATCCAAATGATTTTAGTGGAAAACTCAGTGGAGCATTTTATTACCACATTACATCACAAGGAGTGTTTCTGTTTGAGATAAGAGAAAAAAGCCTAAATATGCAGGACTTGTATATTAAATATGTATAAATTAAAGCTCCAGGTTTTTTTTTGATGAGGATTCATTATAACATAAATCAGAAAATGGCATAATATAGGCCCTTTAAACTATCAGCATAGAGTGATCACCTAATAAACATGGCATTTGTTTATTTTAGATACAACATTGGCTTGATTCCCACCAAACAGAACTTGGCCCTCACTGAGAAGGTCACAGCTTCCTCATTTTGCAGGTAGTATTGGATTTTTAAACATTTATGATCTCTTAAAAAGGAAAAAAAAATATGTAAACCTTGTATGTCATTTATTAAATTCAGGAGGAGACTTCCAAGTATCATGCTCAATCTTCGCATGGCTCAAAACTTAAAAACCGCCATCACATTTATCGAACAAGGACGTATCCTTCACTGCATCTCCCACTGAATTTTTTATTTGTGTAGTGCTATGTGGGTGATGTAATTCGTATTTTTATTTTATTTTTTTTAAATAGCGTCCTTAAATCAGTTTCAGATGTGCGTGTTGGCCCAGAAATAGTTACAGATCCAGCTTTTCTTGTTACAAGGTACAACATTTGAAAAAATACTTTGTTAAAAACTAAAAACTAAATTTGTTCTTGTCTGTATACATGTATCTTGTATTTGACAGGAACATGGAAGATTTTGTAACTTGGGTGGATTCGTCAAAGATCAAGCAGCATGTCATGAATTATAATGATGAGGTACAGCTTGAGTTGATAATTTTGAGATTCTGAAAAAATGCTTGTAAAAACAATTGATTTTATTTTTTATTTTTTACAGAGGGATGATTTTGACCTTGTTGCATAATCCTGCACCCACGTTGAAGAAAAAGGAAGTAATTTTATTGTGCTTTTGAGGACTTACTATCTCAACTACAAGCATTTTGTTCACAAGAAATAAAATCTTGTGTGACGCTATTGGATTAACTATACATATTCCTCTCAAGCATTACAACAGCTGTGGGAAGGCTTCAGAATGGCTTGTGTCTGGATCTTCAAAATAATGAAAATCACAACTGATCCTGCAAGATCCCTCTTTCACACCACTACTGAGTGAGAAACACAAGAGCCATTGATTTGAACCTTTGAATCTTTGGGAGACTTAGGCAGGAGGACTTCCTGGGGTGGAGCGCAGTGTTTGCTCTGAATGTGGACTTGTGCGAACAATGAGACTGCACTTTGGTACAGAGTCTAGTCTTAACACACACAGAAACTGTTGGAAAGTAACTTTTATTTGATAAAGATTTAATCTACTGTAAACATTTCCCTGCATGTTACTTCTCCCACCCATTCAATATGTTAAACACCCACAGTAAGTAAACAACATTCCAGCTTTGCGTGTCACAAGTTACCGCCAAGAAAAATGGCTCAGTTTAATGTAACATAACTCCAGGTAAATTCTGAGCATTAGTGGTCCATTGAGAAGATACATTTAAATGGCTAATTTATAAAACTCAGTGTTTAAGTCCCTGATTGAGTTCATATCAGAGCCACCAGAAGCGTACATAGATGATGAGTGTCAGGACGACCACTGCCACAGCAGCCAGTTTTGCATAAGTTGAGCGAGTGTTGAGATACTTGGCATCACTCTGATACTTCTTTGCTAATGATGACAAATTGGTGGCCTTTGTATCTAAAGCTAAAAAGAGCACATGCATTTTCTCTCTGTATTTGAGTTAGGTACTTAAAAAGCAATCATATTCAACATACCAGAAAGGGCTTCCCCACGTTGCAGAACTTCTTCAATATTGGCAACCATTATTCTCTGGACATCGTGCAACTCTGTGTTGATGCTGCCCAGGTTTCTCCTTGCCCTGCTATCAACATACATCTTCTTTGCCTTTTGGATGTAATTGTCTAAAACAAGAGTTGAATCACTAGAAAGAGGCTTTTTAAGTAAATGTAACAAGTAATACATGTGACCTTACCAAACTCAATGAAAGTGTAGGGTCTAGTGACTGTGCTCACCCTCCTTCCATACTGGTCAAAGAACTCATTGTGGAGGTCATCGAGGTATCCGAAAGCTACCTTTTTTGGGAAGGAAGGCTCGCAAAGGCACAGATAACACACACCCTCTGCAATTAAATAACTGACAAAATGTCACATGAATTAGGATTCTTGATTGTATACAAACATGAATTTAGATGTAAGTATTAGATCTTACTGAAAGTTTAGGTTTCCAGCCTCCAGAGTGCACCGGTCTGGACTCTGAGCATTCAGTCTGCGGAAAAGCTGTTTGGCCTGAGTCTGGTACTGCTGGAGGTCTCTCTCGTACTGAGCAATGACAACAAACCTGTTATACTGGGGTCCAGGGCAGACAACGTATAGACTACTGGTTAAGTGAACCGTCTTCAAAATTGTTCTGAAGACTTCAAAGAAAATATAATTTATTCTGGGTGACTACACACGCAGTACAAATGTGCAGTATGGTGGTCACTATACAATGTTACACATTAATTTGTAAAATACCACCCCCTGTTTAGCTATTACATTATTAACTATTAGGCCATTCCCCTCAAAGCAAGAGGGTTCTGGATTCGACTCCAAAGCCGCCCCTGCGTTTCGTGTGCGTAGTTTGCTCAAGTTTCCTCAAGTCTGGGTGGTTTTACTCGGGGCACTGTTCCCCCATCAACCCAAAACATGCACCACAGGTGAAGTCCTCCAGCTAAGGTAGTTCTAATCAAGCCTAGCTCAACATCGAGATGGGCGACCACTACCACCCAAATCTTATTAAAATCAGTGTGAGACAGCCAATTTTGACAATGAATTGTCCCGGTGACTGCTTTGCAGAGCTGTAACACTGTTGAGATTCATGTGTTACCTGTTCTTCATCTTGAATAGACGCGGCCAGCGGCAGCCCGTCAGCCACTCGGGCCAACATCGTCAATAAAATCATCTCTCTTGCACAGTTACTCTTTGATTAAAACTCCTATCGGGCCTAGGCTGTGACAAATAAGTTACACAGGAATTAAAAAGTTCAGGTCAGGCAACTTTGTTGTAGGAGTGTGCTGAGCGGAAGTCTGTGGTGGGCCGTCAAAATTCTCCCGTGTTGCAACAAACTATTGCAGCATTTTCATCAATATCAAGAAGTAAAGAAGAAGAGAAAAAGCAAGTAAGGTTTATTAGAAACGACACTGTAACATGCTTGGGGTTTTTTTTATGTTATGTTAATTCGTAATCGTAGGTGGTGCGTCTCCGGAGTCACAGGGCTCTGCTCCCTGTGTCCGTGCAGCAGACAGCAGACAGACGGTCGGCATCACCGCTGAGAGGAGGAGAGGAGAGCTGCGGCTTATCGGCTCCATCCGAGCATCTCTGCGCTAAACCAGGACAATGCGCCTGGGCCATGGACGAAACTCAAAGGTAAATTTAGCCTGCATTTACTGTTAACTGTTGTTTCGTCTTCCCTAGATCGGTTTGATGGCTTTTGCAGGGGGGAGAAAATACAGTGTTTATTATTGTATTCAGTATTTTTGCCTAGCTCAGCACAGGACATCCTACGCTGTTGTATTATTTGGATAAAATGCTAAGCACGGGTGATTTTTGGTGGATATTGTTGGCCTTTTCAAAGCATTGTGCTTGGTTATGTGATGATTATGTCAGAACCACCTCACCGGCAGATACTAGTGTCCCGGATCAATCACCCTCTCCTCCAGGACGCAGAGCGCTTCTGTACCACACACATGCACACAGATCATAGGGCACTGTTACTGCGGGACACACGAGGCGTTGGACTAGTTGTACGTGGGCTAATATTTCACAGAAAGCCCCACCTCGAAAGAAAGCACCGGCGCTTGGCACAGCAGCACCATCCGACAGATTGAAAGGCCTCATTGTTGTCAAGCAGCTGGCACCGATCTGACTGGGGTTCCCCAAGAGCAGCCCGTAGAAGGCCCTGTCGTTATGGTCCTTTCTAACTAACTACAGCGCTTTTACATCATATTTCCGACTGCGCCATATTTAATGTGCATTTCTCCAGGTGCTGAGCCCACCTAGAGCAAGCCCAGGGGTTCTCAGCCTCAACCTAGCGAATTACCAAAAGCAGAACGCTTTACACCAAGTTCAGTAAACCACCTCAACAGTTCACACACACAAGCATGTTGGTGTGAAACAAACCTGGTATAAATCTGTCAATCCTGAATTATAGAGGCCAGTCAAGCCTCTGCTAAATGCGCCCGTTTAAATGACTCACAGAATGATAGACCCCCGGTCGATGGTCCTGCTCCATATGCACTCAGTGAAATACATACTGGGAGCATCAATATAGGCTTGTAAATATCAGATTCATCTTCATCTTGAAGCTCTTATATTCAAATCCTCACTCCTGAGGACTCCTGTTAAACAATTATTGCTGGAATATGAAGTGAATAAGCCTACATTAGTTCATGTCGTAGGCCAACATGAAAGTATTCCTCCTGTCTATTGTTGTAGACAACACATGTTTCTCCAGTTTATAAGACGCTCTCCCTCTCACTGTCTTCAGATTTACTATGTGTGAGGCTCAGGGCTGAGGAGACAGACCAGGAGATGGGCTGCACGTCGGCCAAACAGGTGTCTGCGGTACCCAACGGAGAGGAGGAGAACAGCAAAGCCCAGAGCAACGGGGACCTCCTCTCTGGTCAGTCAGCACTCAAGTAATTAAGCTCTCTGTGTACTGTGTTTAAGATGTCATCCTAGGTCTAAAGTGATTCAGTGAAAGGGCAGGCAATGTATATTATATGTCCCATCATTATTGATTTCTTACTATATAAATGATATTTCTGTCTTTTAATCAAAATACATTACCCCTTTGAGCTGAATGTGCTTCATCTAATATTAAATAATTCATGCTCAGTTAATAGTTTGTCTTATTGGTAAATAGAACTTTGCACATAGTGACTAATTAAAATACAACAGGCTTTAAATGAGTGTGGCATGTAAAATGAAGCACATAAAACCTTGAAGATGGAGGATGATTATCAGACACTCCTGATCTGAGGTGAGAGCATGACTGCACCTACATTTCAATAACATGATGTGTCGCTTTGTCACAGATGAGTACAAGATGAAAGCAGTGGAAAAAGTAAAGTACATCAGTGGAGAAGAAGGAGGAGGAGGCGACAGCCAGGACAGCACGGTGGGACATTATTTATATATTTATATATATATATATATATATATATATATATATATATATATATATATATATATATATATATAAAAGGCATTTGACTTGATTCTTTTATTTAAAAAAATACAAAAGCTGCTATTCTTTTTGCATTATAATGAAAACACATTATGATTATACAGGAAAAGAGTGCTCTGCTTGGAGCAGGTCAACAGCTGGATCAGACCGAACCCAATGGGGATGGCAAGATCCTGTCAGTGTTAAACATTAATATTATATTTGTGTATTAGTCAAGTGTTAGTACATGAGACTCAGTATGTGTGTGTATAATGTGGTCTCAGGAGCATCCACTCGTCTGAGAGCCAGCAGGAGTTCTTCAGGATGCTGGATGAAAAGATAGCAAAGGTAAAAGTGATAGTTTATTACACTTGTACTTAACATGTATCATAAAGGTGCACTAAGTAACTTTTCTGGTGGATAATTTGTCTCATACTGAGGTCTTTGAATGTCTTTTATTATATTATTATTTTTCTATACCATTAGATGCTCAACACTTGGACATCATGAAAACTAAAACAGTGTCACTCATCACGCGTATATCCAATACAGTATTCGCAAAGCAATGTCATGTACATTACACATGATCGTATTTACCATTTGCGTGTAGACCAAGTGCAGAATATTGCTTCTCTCTTTGCTGTGAAGGTACTTTCTGCTCATAATGCAACTGTTACCGCTCTCAACAAACTCGAGTCATGTGATCCACCTTGGTAAAAATGACTGTATTACAATGTATTACTTTTTGACATTCTTTAGTGCTTTTAAACAATATTTATATTAACAAAATATCATAAACTTAAATAATTGTCTCACTAAAAATAAAACAAAACTGCCTCATTTGCAGCACAACATGCAAGTTTAATAATGTACTGTACAGTGGAACATTCCAGGCAAAGTAATAACATCTCCATGGACACAAGCAGGTGGAGAAAACAACTAAAGTTTCACAGTGCACCTTTTATTTACAAGCACAGTTAATGATGTTACATGTTGTTTCAGGGAAGAGACTACTGCTCAGAAGAGGATGATCTGACATAGCACAGAGACTTCAGCCATAAAAGGGACTGCACCGACAGTCACACATTTGGTCCTGGTTTTGTTGTGACCACTCAGCTCATGTACGCACCAACTACAAACTACAAACAGCAGCCCAGAGATCTACTCTAAATCCAGTTTGAGGATATTAACAGATTTACCTCCCCCATAAAGCCATTCCTGTGGAAGACAAACTTAAGTCCTGGATAGAAGCTCCAAGCGGTCAGCAGTGAATAGGCTCCAGTATTTGACACCCAAGAGGAAATACAATAATTCACATTGTGCTGAATTATTTTCTGGGTGCCTCTGGAGATTTATATTCCAACAATATATATTTTGTTTCTACTTTTGGTTAGCCCGATCACTGTGTTTATCTATTAGAATTTGTGTTATGAAGTTGAGATCTCAAAAAGTCTCAGGGCTGAAGTATTATCGTCATATCTGAACTCCCATTAGCCGCCACCAACACCACATCACAGAAAAACTGCAACTTCACTGACTGTATACACTATAGTCACGGCCTTCATTCATACAATGATGCATTTTTGTAGAAAAATAAATATTTTTTTTTATTTCAATTCAAGTTGTGGAAGCAAGTTTTTAATTCAACTGACATGTCCATTCACCCGTCTTTTATATAAACATATATAATATGTATGTATGTATATATATAAAAACACACACATACACATATACATATACACAGGGTATAGGCAGAATATAGGAGTATGAATATTATCCATGTGTGAGTGAATGAGGTGAGGCTGGAGGTTGTTGGGGAGGAGAACATGGAAGGAGATTAGGAACCACATCTCTGTCAATGCTTCAGGCGTAAATGAGTAATGCATTTCAAAAGGCTTTGAGAGTACACAAAACGAGTCACAGTGTAAGGCTTATGCAATATTATTATTAAAGTGTTTTTAAACGCAAAGAGCAGATATGTTACGTAGTTGCTCTGTAATAAACATCGGTCCAGCTGATATCCTGGTGGCCCCATTAAATTGATGAAATAGGCCCAGAATGTCTTATAAGGTAACTTTTCACACAAAGCTTTACTGTAGTGAACAATAAGTTAACAATACACAAAATAAGAAAGTACTGATATTTGACAGTAAGTGAAAATGCTGTATTCAGTATGTCTATCCTGCAATGGCACCCAAGCTATATAAGTGTGTGAACAGAGGCATAGAATCTCAGATAATTACTTTTTATCAAATAATAAAAAGCCATTGTTTTAGGATAATATTGCATGTGTTATAGTTGAGTCTTTAAAATAATGAACTAATTTCTAGTTTGGCCTCCAATGCTCCACCTACTTATTGGGGGTGGTGCCTTCTCTTTCTGTTCTGCCGCCGTCCCACATCCTGGAAGGGGCCCATGGGGGGCTCAGGTGTCACAAGACCATCAGAGATCTTCTGGTACACAAGAGTAGAGTCTGATGCGACCGCACAAAGCAGCATAGGAAATCCTCTATCCAGCACACAGCGTATACTACAAAGAACAAAAATAGTGGGGCTGTAAATATTAAAAGATAACAACTGACAAAAAAGTGTTGTAAATTCATGCCCTGCCACAAAAACCCACAAAGGCAAATATATATACTTTTTTTTTTTTTAAACTAAAAAACTTTGCCATCCCTCACCTTTTGTGTGTGATGGATTGATGGACAGGCAGAGGAAGTACAGTATGAGTAGGTCCTCCTTCTTTCTCTGTCGCTTCCAGTAAAACCAACTGCAGTTCTGGGCACTTGAGACAGGACACTTCTTTCCAATGTCGAACTACAAAACAAAGAACAATTACCGTAATTTATGCAATAGTGACATCTAGTGGTGAATTGTCAGAATAAAAATATCGCGTGCAATTAACACACATTCAGATTTGAAGGTGTTCATGAAGTGTACATGCATCGTCGTCCATCTGAAACTGCTTTATTACACGGCTCACAAAATAACAAACAGCAGTATTATTTATTAAACTAATGCAAATCTAATTGGCTTGGCTTACCCTCAGTCAGGTCCATGTAAGCGAGGAAGGCTGCATGTACCTGAGCGCTATCCTCGACTCCAAGGCTTTTCATTTCACGAAACTGTAACAAAAGAAACACTTTATTACTAGGGAAAGTACAAGAGCGGAACATGGCGGGGCTGAGTGCACTCACCACGGGATGCAGAAGGATCCAGTTTTCAGCCGGGACCGTTTCAGTCATTTTTTACAAATAATATGCTACAGTATGAAACAACGTCCACAAGCCTGTCAATATGAGGTAAATGTACACGTCTGAACCATGGGTCAGAACAAATGTAAACATCTAGCTAACATGTTGAAGTTTGAGGTTTACCGGGGTGCCACTGTAGACACTGTCCGGGTTGATCATTAGTTATGACTTGTGTTCCTAGGTGAATGTGGCAGAGGGGAAATTACGGCTGTTTAGCACTGGTCCAGGCAGGGGTAGTTGTAATGTGTGGCCTCCCTCCCAGAATATGTGACCCCCATTACAATATTCAACTTATTTTTATTGATTGCTTGACTTACAGTTATTTCAATTAAACTTAAGTTGATTTGAAAGCAATACAGACCCATGCCCTTATTTTCTGTTATGAATATTAGCAGCACTAGACTCAAATTCAAGCATTTGAATCGAGCTATAAATGAATGTTGTGCAAAAAGTAAAGTTTGGTTTTACGCAAATAACAAGAAACCAGAGAAACTACATTTATTTGTAGGAGTTTATTTACAAAAGCACTAGTATTTCATGTCAAGCAAAAACGGAACGAATATTAGTCATGTTCCATCTCACAAAAGGAGTTATGAAAAGAATAATTAAACCACACAATGATATTTCTGTAATAAATTAAATCAGAAAAACAAAAGATAAAACATGCTTGTACTTCGGTGTTGCATTGGAAATGTTGAAACTCCAACGCTTCATTTTTTTTTTTTTTTAAGACACCTGAGAATATAAATATCAAAAACAGCTTGTTGCAGCAATTTAGTTCCAGTCCTCTTCGTATTCACTTTAACTAAAGCTTTGATCAGAGGAATCACAATTTAAAATTAGACATCAATTTAAAAACATTTGCTTCTGTACAGTGTGCATATCGGATTTAGTGTGGTGGTGTCTCTTAGCGAGGCAGTGCAGCAAACTTTATGTGGGATCATCCACACTGAGTGATATGAACAGATTTGGACTGAGCTCTTGTCTATGGTGAATATGCTAAATAGGCCCTGCTGTAGTGGCTGCTGATGCCATTTTCCAGTAATCTTGTCCCGACACCAATGCAAGCGGCTTGAAGGGACAATGTTGCTACAAAGAAGTAGTGAAATTGCATATAAAAAACATTACATCAACAGACAGTTGTGAACTGAAATCCAAGATTACATGGTTTCCTGGACTTCAGGAGCAAAGGTTGGATGGATTTGTACAGATGATAAAACATGAATGACTGAGGTATGTTATTGTTGCAAGTTTATAGCGGTGAGATATGGAAGATCAGTCCATTTCAACAAATATATTTCTGTCTAAATATAAAAAGAGGAAATGCATTTTGATGTGGAACAGTCCGTGAGTTCACAAGTTACTGCCAGCAGCAACACAATGAACTGCTGAAAAAGAAACATAGAATTGTTCAACCAGACCCTGGCTCTAAAGAGTGGACTGAAATGAAAGTGGTTTGAGGAAGACATCCATAATCAGAAATGTAAACAAATCAACGAGATGGCAAAGATAAGTACGCAAGACTACCGAAAGTAAAATGACTCCTCTTAAGCTATGTAAAGCACTTGGATGAAAGGCAGTTTTCAAACCATTGGTTATTAACACAGTTCCACAGTGCTTGCTCAAAGTAGCAGAGTCACAGTGCAAGCTATTACACAATTTAGCCTATTAAACCTGTAAGTTAAAAAGTGCCATATTGCATAATGAGAGTTGCCCTGAGAGGGCATATATACCATACATCTTGATTCATCTGTAGAGTTGGTGCAAAGTAGATATGATAAAGGTTAAGGCTTACGAGTTTCCTGAAAGTGTTCACTGAGAAGTGTATGTGTCCATGTGTAGGACTATCAGTGTGGACATGGTATTAAAAAAAAAAAAAAAAAAACTTGTTATTTGTTTCTGGCCTTTTTCTATAAACTCACTTTGGATGGTTGCAGTGATTCATTCTGACTATTTAGGAAAACTAAAATGTATGGTTTTGGCTAATTTGTGAGTGTCTAACATTTCTACAATCTGATAGTGTTAAATTAACCAAGTCACAGTTGCTTGTTAATTTCTAAGAAACAAAGCTAAGGACAAACTAATCTGGACCCATTTGTAACAGAAAGGGTCAGGTTTTGCCTATAATTGCATAAACTGCAGTTTGCAGAAATGTTGGACAGTCCCACATCAGTCAAATATAAAGGCCATGTGCATGATCCTTTTCCCAAATTAGATTATATAATATTCCATGTGTTTTTTCTGAAAAGATCACTGCAGTTAAACTAGTGACAACGGCTAAACATAAGACTCTTGGGCTGAATAACAAACTATGTAAAGAAACACCTGGTGCATTCACCTGATCCTGATCCGTGTCCCACTGCAAGACTTACATTGGGTCAGAAGGCAACAGGATTTTTCTCCAGAAATACTTAGAAGACCATACAACATCACATACACAGTACTCTTGAGACTGGCTATTAAGTATTCAAATGAAAAGACACGCCAACACTCACAGGCAAAGCCCTCCTATCATATATGGTCACCCCTAATATAAGGACTACAATTATTCATCACATATTATTCTGCTGCTAGTAGCATTACAAATCCTCTACATTAAAAGCTTAAAGCTTATGTACATTTGCATCAGTATCAGACATAATACTACAAGTATTATGTGTGAGTAGCAGATAACTGTCTGGACCAATTGAAACTGGTGTGCAAACAGCTCCTCTACGGTGACATTTGATCAACATTTCAGGCAAAAAGTAATATCTGCACTAAATTAAGAATATAAGAAAAATGCAATATGTTATAAAGGAATGTGTAATCACTAAAATGAATACATACCTTGCAAAGCCATAAAAATAAAACAAAAAAGCTAAAAATAAAAGCCTCTAATCACGTCTCTCCAGCTAATAGCTATCATCACAAATATGCTATGTATGGTAAATAAATGGAAGTAGATGGAACTACATCCATCTACAAATAAACTCAAAAACTAAAAAAAATGGCTGTGAAAGAAAAACTGATTTTTGTCCTTGTTTTGTTTACGAAACTTTGTCTAAACAGTTGGCGTTTATAGTAAAATATGTATCATCATTCCCTCTCAACTCTTGTTTTCAATTTACTGAAACAAACAAAAAGTTGTTTTGAGAACAAGTGGGCCATATAATATTGGTGAGGTACAATGTGTTTTTGGTTAAAATTCAATTAAGTTAAATTTGAGGTGTTGGTTTGTATACATGACAAACCAATATAAGCAATGTAAACAAAAACAAAAAATTACATTTAGATTTCACTTTGTCAATTTGTCATTAAAATGAACAATGCTGTCCCTTAGTACATTTCTTAAATGTATAACTGAATGATGGAATGTATTCCTTGTCATTATATTTTAATACACATTCCTCCTTATATACTGAGAAATTGAAGTGCAGCACACAGCCTCAACTTTCTCAAAGTCAAGAGTATCTAAAAGCACAATTCATACATTTACTAAATTGTATCCAATAACAACCCTTACAGTGGTCACCTGACTGTGTGGAGTGAAGGAGCTTCCTTCAAACTATTAGCACTGTGTACGTAAATATATGTGCACGACTCTATTGCACCATAGCACAAGGCCAACTCTACGCACTGGTCTGATTGAAGTTGGTGGGCCCTCCTAGTGCATAGGCGCTGGGCCCTTGTTGCGTCCCAGCATGGCGGGTTGGAAGTCGGGGTGGCGGCGGGCATGCTTGATCAGGTGGTCACTACGCATGAACCTCTTGTCGCAGAGTGGGCACTGGAAGCGCTTCTCTCCGGTGTGAGTGCGTGTGTGGCGGGCAAGCTCATCTGAGCGAGCAAATTTCTTCTCACAGTCGGGCCAGGTGCACGGGAAGGGCCTTTCCCCTATAGCCAAAAAAACAAAAGTCATTACTTAAAAGGAGCCATATTATGAAAAATATACTTTTATTAGCTTTTTACCATAGTATCTCATAGTGTTCCTCATTATTAAGTCATGCATGTTTGTCTAATCTTGCATTTGAGGCTTGAGTGCTCAGAAAATGTCACAATTTCACCTACCCCCGTCTCCACCCACAACCCAGGATTCTGTACTATGTAATTACAAGCATGCATTTCCCTCTTCATATTGTTCTTTATATTTAATATTTCAGGTCTATTTTTACTTAGACAGGCAGGTAAATAAAAAGGATACAATATCTATAGTATAGTACTGTGCAGTACAGTTACACATGGGCTTTACAGGAGCAGATTGATTTAAAGAAATAAAGATTTTTTTTTTTTTTGCGCAGAACACATAAAAAGGCGAAGTAGGAAAATAGGATGGATGCTAGCTGCCATTTTCAAGATCACAAAACCGCCAGGCCACGTTGTTCGTTCTGTGGGCGTTCCTATCCCATCAGAGCCGCTTCCTGCCCTTAATCCGTTTGCGCCTGCTCAATGACCCTGAACACCAGAATTCATACACTTTCTGAGACTGAAAAGTGCGATCAATTAATTATCTTTTTAAGAAAAAAAAACTAATTGAAGCACGGTTGTGGTTCAAGGGAATAACTGCTAGGGCACATGGCCTTTTGCGCATTACGCATTATTAAAACAGCAGTAGTATCTATACCGTTGGCCCTTGCTAGGTTCATACCTCAGTTGACCATTACATTAAGAGATAACTGAGCACATTATGGGCTGCTCGTCCAACACTGAACTCTCCTCTCAGCGTAAGGTTTCGTCTTACGTTCATTTCATATGCAAATCCACTGCAGAGGAAGCCTTCGTCACAGCGTTTATAGTCCTGCCCAGTTCTTTTGTTAGTTTACTTCTTTGTCAGTGTTTCTGAAGGGAACTTAACTTATCGTTTTTGCTTTGTTGGCTTACATTAAATAACTGTAGCCAAGGGCAGATAAAACGTTTAAACTCACAACTCAAATAATATGCTAAAGTACTCAGATGCAGAGAGATCGAGTAAACCCTTAAGTGGAAAAACAGCGTGGTTTCTGTTTTACTTTTCAATGCGTTCTCTCTTCCCCGTCTTATTTTTTTTACTGAACTTTTGAGTCTTGCACTTTTTGTACAGATTATGGAGTTTGTCTGAGACACATCGCAGACCATTTGTCATAACGTGTTAATAATAGGATTGCGTGCGACTTGGCCCGGGTAGGCTCTGGGATACTTGGTAATTCATGAGAAACGCTAC